TGGGAAATATAATATTTTAAAAAGCAATTAAAATTTACCTTATGAAATCACTGAATGACAGGGGATGTGAAAAAAACCGAGGGAAAAAGCATTTTAACAGTTATAGCAATTCTGTTAACAGTAGATAAGTATAGGCCTGAAATACAATTGCAAAATTCAGAGAAAAAGTTTTATGAATCTGTCCTAGTTACCTTCTCTGAAATAGCAAAGATAATAAGAATAAGGAAGGAAATATTGAAGATCTTTGATGTAGGTTGTTTATATAATGGATGAAATATTTAACTTTAAGATAACTGCTTATATGTTGCCAGTTGGTATTTGGTTAAAATGATTTATAGAACCATGTATTTATTGGCAACATGAATAAATTTTATAGAAATTTAAGAATAAATTCCAAGTGTTATATAAGCTAATTTTTTTTGAGAAAAGTCTTTTAAATCATTGTTTACTTTTGGAGAGTTCTCTAACGCATGTTGATACACATTGATTTTGATAGCAGACACAAGGGTCAACCTTTCTAATCTATACTTTTTATTAAAAAGATAAACATTAAAGTGACATTAAAGTGTGTATCCTTAACATTTTGCTTTATGTTCATAAATTTAAATTGCTACCCATTATACTCTTACAGATATGTCCATTAAGATATTGTTGATGTGACAGCCATAGAGATTGTGATTATGTTACAGAACAATGAGTTTGTAGCAATTTACTCTTCCAGTTGCTTCAATTTTGGGATGAAGAAATAGTATCATAAGAAAGTTTAGATAACTTTATTCAGGTCATATCACTAACCATACAAAGGTACAGGGAGAAAAAAGCCAAAACAAAACAATAAAACAAACAAAAACAACTAAAATCTAGTGTGTTCAGTACTTTCTATTTTAGAATTCCAAAATATGGGTAAGAAGGAGGAGTAATAAAGAAGGAAAACTCATGCTGCTGAAAACAGAGCTTGGACCCACAGCTAAGACAACTATGTCCTTCTAGTCTCAGTTTTTGGGAAATAAACATAAATTCCATGGTTCTCTTATCTTTTTCTTCTCATCTGTAAAATGGAGGTTTGGAATAAGAGGATCTCTGGTAGCTCAATCTTCTGTCTGTTGGATCTGGAACACTAGGTAATAGGGACGCTGCTTGGTGCCATATTTTACAACTGGAGACTTTAAGAATCAAGGCTGCCTGCTCTTTGACAAGAAAACTCTTTTATCCTTGTCAATTTCCTTTCATTAACTTTAATTTCAAGATATTAAAAAGCCATGTTTAAATTTTATAGCAAACAGGTAGTATTTCTTGGTCTCAATTTTGCTGTTGTTTCTAATTTAAACTTATTTTTATTAACATGGCACTACTGTGCTTCCAAAATAAATGAGAATCTTATAAATTTGTTTATGTCACCGGCAAATTAGAAAATTTCCTGAGAGTTTTAGTAGTGTACAAATTGATGAAACAATTTTTGTGTTTTCTTAATATTGACCTTTTTACTACCTCCTAGCCCATCATAGGACATCTAGGGGAAAAAAGTTATCTCATAGCCCTTTTCTGCTCCCTTATAAGGTAAGTATGCTGGAATTTATTCATCATGAGGAATTCAAGTATGGAAAAGTTATAAAGACAGACTTGATGGAGTGATAGAATGACTTGTTAAATCCATTTCATTACAAATTACCTTAGCTCACTAATCAATGAAGACAGCATTTACAGTGGCACTAAGATATGCTTTTTTCAGTGGAGGAAATTTTGAATAGGATTTATTTTGACAAAAGATAATTCAGTAATAACTTCTATTTTTTTGAAATCTAGTGGAAAACTAGCTAAAATATATTGAGCAGTAAAACATTACTACAAAAATGACCCTCAGAAAAGAGAAACTCATGTTAATGTGATTAGAGTTTTATGGGATAAATTTTGGAAAGAATATTTATAATGGTTTACAGAAGGGAAAAATATAAGATAAAGTCAATACCTGCTACCTGTCTTGGTGTTCTATATACGTGATTTCTTTTAATCTTCTAAACTGACTAGTGAGACATTCGGGTTCTGATTTACACCTGGTACAAGGCAAGTGAGTCATAAACATTATCTGGTTAATAATCTGTGTCCTTTATTTCTACCACACTGCCTCCTTCTTACTATGATGTGTCAGGCAGCCTTTAGCCCTCAGTGGCACTTTTCCTATGGAGGCACTGTACCTCTCAAACTAGGGTAGGAATAATGTCAGGAAGTATCTCTGGATCACCTTAAGAATGGGAGTAATCATAGAAAATCTTCCTGGATCAATTTTACTAGGACGATATTTGAGGAAATATTTTATTAAAACAAACAATTGTTATGAGCTAGGACACACTATTACATATATTTCTAAGAAAGAGAAAAAAAAGACTGCATAGTAATTTTGCTGGGGGAAGTGTATTTCACACTCTGTTCCTAATTTGCCAAGAATTTCTTCTGCCCTCAGAAAAATTCAGAGAAGTCTGAAACACATTGCTTGCCTTGTGGAGAGACTAATAGTTGATAGTACTACCTAGTCTGTGCATGAAAGAAATATAGCTTGGTTCAAAGAAATACTATATTTCAACTGAACAATGAGGCAAGAGCATTTTACTTTGAAATACATGAAATGAAATCAACGATTTTCTTCTAGGTGCTTTATCCTCCTTTATTATTTTATGTAATTGAAATCGCTTCCTAAAAACAAAAGTTCTGTGACACTCACTGCAAATGAGTGGTTATTGACTAAATAAAACTAATTTTTTTTTTTTTTTGTCTTTTTTCGTGACCAGCAACGGATTGCAACCCTCAGTGTCGCGCCCGTACGGACCGGGACCGGCTACGGGATCGCAACCCTCGCTGTTGTTCCCGCACCTCGCTCAGCCAGTGAGCGGCCGGTCTGTACGTGGGATCCGAACCCTCGGCGGGAGTGCCGCCGCACTTCCCAAGCGGCACACTGTAGCAGTGCGCCACCGGGCCGGCCCTAAATGAAACTAAATTTAACTATATTTATGGATTATGATTTCTAATTCACCTTTACAAATTTGAAGAACTAATAAATCACTCAACTTTTTAAAAATTAAATATTTTACCAAAAATTATTATACAATCATTGTTTGAGAGTCTCTGAGAAGCAGAAATAATGCATTATGTAATTTGGGTGCTTAGAACATCATTCTAAAATACATTTGCATCCAACTGTTTTGATGTTGCTGTGGAATGCTTATATCTCGCCAGGCCTAAGTTCATGATCTTCTCCTGGTAAACATGCTAAAAATGCAACTTCCCAGACTCCTTTACCGGCTGTTTCTGATGCATCCTGTTCACTGTAGACACTAAAAATCTGCATTCTTAAGAAGTATCCCAGTGCTTGCTTTGGCAGTACATATACTAAAATTGCAACAATACAGAGAAGATTAGCACGGCTGCTAGGCGGGGGATGTCATGCAAATTTGTGAAGTGTTCCATATTTAAAAAGAAAACCCCAGATGATTCTGATGCAGGGAGTCTGAGACTCACATTTTGAAAAACAAGGAAGATATTTTCTGGTTAAATTATGACTAGTGACATTCATTGATTCATTTTATTGAAATCAACATTAGAAGAGGATTTTGGAATTAGCCTAGAGGTAATGGGCATTCTTTATTTACTCTTCCATTCATTTTTAAGAAGCCTGGCACATTTTGGATTAAAGGTCTTGAGTTCTAATTCTACTTCTACTAGCCATTCAGTTTTGCATAAGTCACATGACCATTTCACAGTTTACTTTCTTGGACAGAAAAATAAATATTTGTATGTTTATCTTTTGGACTCTGAATAATTTCCATTATCTTTCTTTCTAAATAGCTAATGGGAATTGAATAAAATGTTTTTAATTAAAACTTGACTGATTGCCCAATTAGTAATTGAGATATAAAAAGATGGCAGACTTGATATCAGCCGCAAGCAAATTTAGAATTGTAGGAAATTATTCTGGTACGTTGCTTAGCCTATCTCTTCTTACAGGGGTCTTGGATATTTCTCATTATGTGGGCAATACTAACTTTGCTGTCAAAGTAATTTTTTTCATCTGAAATCTGGAGAAGAGAGTTTTGTGGACTTACAAATATGTAAAAGAAATATCAATTTAAAAATGAAGTTAGTGATGGAAAGTGATAATCAGGTATTCTAGAGCAAGGTTGGTAAACTTTTTGTGTAAAAAACTGATTGAGTTGTTCACGGTATTCGTTCAGTCTGAATGCCTTTCTTCCTCAGTTGACATATTTTCATTCTTTACAGTTCAATTTAAATGTCACCTTTCTGGGGTGAGCCCTCTTATTATGTTAAAGTTAGAGTTAACTTTTTTTTTTGCATTTCTTGTACCTCTATGCAACACTTATTTCATTTTAACATAGTAATGTATACTTGAGTTCCGTAGTCAGACACACTTGGGTTCAAATCCTGCCTCTACTGCTTAGTTCATCTACATTCCTGGGCAATTGATGTTATTTCCTAAGCTGCTTCCTCCTCTGTTACATTGAAATAATAATATTTGTGCATAATTTGCAGGTCTCTTTTTCTGTTAAAGTCTGATGACACAGTGCCAGCACAGTAAATGGTAACTATGAGTGTTTTCTAAGCACTTTCCCACTGGGCTTTCTTCCCCAGTAGATAGCAAACACTTTGAGGACAGGAAATTAGTCTTTTTCATCTTAGTACCCATCCAACATGTTGGTCCCAAAATAAAATCTCTTGCTGTCTTTTACTTTTGCTTGGCATGATTCATAGAACATGTTAAACCTAACTTATTAAAATTAATAAGATATTAATTTATCCCTATATTACAAAGGCATTGGGATGACTTATGAGATGCATAGAGACCAAAAGAATGAAACATAAATAGAATAATAGTATTCAGTTATTCAATTGAATAAGTGAAGAATTTAATTTCACCATTTTGCACCTAAATGAAACAGAAGGCACAGATAAGGAAACGTTAAAGCCTGTCTTCATTCTGTCACGTTTTGTAGGATCTCGTCTTCGCCAGGAAGACTTTCCCCCGCGGATTGTGGAGCATCCTTCGGATGTTATCGTCTCTAAGGGAGAACCCACCACTCTGAACTGTAAGGCAGAGGGCCGGCCGACGCCCACCATTGAATGGTACAAGGATGGTGAGCGGGTGGAGACCGACAAGGACGATCCCCGGTCCCACAGGATGCTTCTGCCCAGCGGATCCTTATTCTTCTTGCGTATCGTGCACGGGCGCAGAAGTAAACCTGATGAAGGAAGCTACGTTTGTGTCGCAAGGAACTATCTTGGTGAAGCAGTGAGTCGAAATGCATCTCTGGAAGTGGCATGTAAGTGACCATAATGAACCTCGTGTGCACGTTTATTTTTGTTTATTTTTAATTAACTTTGATTTGTTCCCATAGATGTTTAATATCTAAGCATGCTTAATCAACACACTCTGCATAATTTTACCTTGCCTTCTCCAAACAAATCCAGTCAAAATAATGTCGAGCTAGGTGTTGCAACAAATTTCTTCATATTAAATCAATGTGGAGGTTATTTTATTATATTAAAGCAAGGTTACAATGACTTAAAATTTGAATTATTAATGAGAGATATAATCAAGTTTTAAAGTTGGCTATGTTAAAATGAAAAGTTTATGTGTAATGTACCATCACATATAAGACACAAATTCAAAATTGTACCTATTACTGTTACCTATTTATGTATAAGTAACTATTTTATAAATAAATACACACACACACACACACACACACACACACATATATTTACTTCTAAATGTAACTTTTATTAGGCAACTTTAAAATGAACATGCTCTCTTCTTATGTAGGTTGTATTAACTCTTTTACTTGCAGGCTGAATTCAGGAATCATTACCCTAGGCACGGTGGGGAAAATATAGCAACAGCAACAGCAATTATATCTTATTCATTTATTTTGTATAAAACTCGGCAGAAAAGAGATCTGCTTTCTGTGTGGACGGAATGTTCATATATAGGAGGATTTCCAATTGCTTCTCAATCTTGGTAATCATCAATAGCTAAGGACTTGCCCTGCCTTTGGCATATTTTATATATTTATTTATTCGTCAGATAGTCCAAATAGCAGTGGTAAATCGGGATATCAATGCTTCGCATCTATTTGAACATAGATTCCATAACTTCATAGATCATTTTCGTGAGCAAATTTTTAAAAATGATACTTATGTTTTCCAGTTTATAGGTGACGGTTTGGGGTCATAATTTAAACAATACAACACAATTTTGATATTATCTATTTTAAGGAAAGATTATATCTAGAATGAATTGTAAATAGATGGCAAACAATTTTTAGGTGGCTAAAACACGTTTGTACTCTTTGACTTCCTAGTTGTAAAGTAGGTCTTTATGCAGAAGAGAACTGAGGAAAGTCAGGATTCATGAATCCGATTTATGCAGCTGAGAGGGGAGTGCTTCATAGCTCAGGATCTCATGTCTTCAGTGATACTTGATAATTAAAATCACATGCTACATGATATTGTACTAGACTGCAAAACTTGTGTATTTGTATATTGAGATTCTCAACAAATATATCATTGTCTTTACACATGAAAACATCTTTTGGTAAATAAAATCATATAGCTACTTATTCAGCTATCATGATTAAAGCTTTTGTTCTCAAATATCCAGTCTTCTGATTTATAGTTTCTGCCAGGAAACTTGGAACCCACTGAAGCTTGAAATTTGTATCTCCAATAGGAAAAGACTAGAAGTATCCTAAGACCCATTTTTTTTTTTTTTTTTTTTTTTTTTTTTTATTAAGATAAGAGCTTCAGAACCTTCACTAGCAATGTCGTTTTGCAGTGAACACCAGGTACTTTCATATTAATAAAATACTACCAAAAATTAATTTAAATTGTACTTAAATTCAGTTTAGTGAAATTTAAAATATGTACTCAAAAGCTCAAGAATGCAAATATTTCTAACTCTTCCATCTTTACTTTGAAATATCTTATTTCTGGAACTTTTCAAATACATTGAAATATTTTAATGCCAAATCCTATTGATTTTTCCTCCATTAGACCTTTTTATAGTAAATATGACAGGAATTATTCTCCCATTTTGTAGGAAAGAAAATAAAGCCCATGATGGTTAAGTGACCAACATTCAGAAATTAAGTTAAAGGGGAATCCAAAGCCAGATCCTGAATCTTTTAATTTTTAATTTTAGGAAATTGTGCCATATTTGAAGAAACACTCTAAATGAAATCTGGCCTATTTTACATAAATGATAATTAAGCATTTTCAATTTTTCACAATTTTTTAATTTTATCTACTTAGTAGCAAATAACTAATTATTTAAATCCTTAATGAATTTTACTTCTCAAAATTAAAGTTTATCTAATTGGTCAGACATTTTATTGTTGTGCAATTATAAACTTATTATTTTTTTCTGAGCCTTAACTTTGTTAAAATTGCTCCCAGCACACATGCATCTTTTATTTTTATTTCATTTACAAAGGTTGCTGTCTTTCCTAATTGCATCATTAATAATGAATCAAACTGTTTTAGGAGGAAAATTTTCGACCATGATTTTATTTCACGTAATGTGACAGTAGAGTTTTTTTTTATTTTGAAATAAATGAGCTTTAAGAAATGCTTGAATTGCTTATGACTTAGAGAGGAAGACAAGAAGACTTCCAAATTAGATTTAGCTAGTGAATAAAATTCTCTCTTTTAATGCTATGTCAACAGTTCATGCCATTTGAGGCAATACAAGATCACATATTCATTGATATGTTGCTTATCTCTTCCCATTAGCTCACCAGTCTTGGTAACTAAGGTGTATTTTTATAAAATGATGAGGAACAGCTGAAGATTATATAACCATGTGGCTTTCATATTTTAGAACACTCAACATTAATAGCTCAGTCATGGTGCTTCCACCTCATCTATTAACAAAAAGTAGACTCTCCTGAAAGAGGTGCTGGGCAGTAGGAATGAAGAAGATGCCTTCCAGTCAATTCTCAAAGAGCTCTCAAGAGTGTTGTGATGACAAACATGTAAATAAATAATTATAATAATAAATAAACAAACAACAAAGTCTATCATAGAGGCATATAAAAGGTACTATAGGAACCCAGAGGGGAGGAGATTTAATTCTTCTTAGATAGACGAGTTGAAGAAAGGATTCTGAGGGGATACATGACTGAGCTCTGATTTGAAGGTCAGGTGAGAATGTTTCAGATGGAAATTAAAGTGAAATTTCACTCTGGTAGAAAGAATGGAAGCCTAAAAGAGCACTGTGTATTTGGAAAACTGCAGATAGGTTGATGCGAGGTTGGTGGGTGGAAGTTGGAAAGGGAGGCATGTGCTGCATTGTAAAATCGAGACTTTTTTTGTTATGTGAAAGGAGAGTCTTTGAAAGAGAATTGAAGATTGTGTTAAAGAGAGGATGACTGAAGTCACCGAGGAGTTGAGGGTGTGAAATAATTCAGAACAAAAAGTTGATTTGAGATTCTAAACTGAGAATAGCAGTGAAGATTGAAAGGAGGAAATGTTTTGAAACATATTTAGGATTTATAAATCATATCACTTTATGGTTGATTTGTGGGGATAAAGGGTGATTTCCAGATTTTTTCTTTTCTTTTTTTTTTGCTGAATGTTTGGTTATATAGTGCTACCATCCTTAGGGATAAGGGGGTACAGGAGAGATAACTGTACTGTGTATGGTCAGCTTTGGCTGAACAGGTTGGCATACCAATGAGATATCCTGGTAAAAATATCTCTTGTTCCACTAAACACAGAACTTCTGGAATTGAGAGGAGAGGTCTTTCCCAGGTAGAGGCTGAGGCCATGGGAATAGATAGACATAGAGATGATTGCCCAAGCAGGCTGTGTGCTGGGTGCAGTTGCTAAGGTCTGAGACCATTCCCACTGCTTGGAACAGCAATATTTAATCGTGAGCAAGGAAAGAAATGCCCATGGAGGAGGCTCAGAGTGATAGGGTACAGGCAGAGAAGTGACAAGAAAAAACAAAGAAATACTTTTAAGAAAGAAAAAGTGGTTGGCACAGTGCGAATGCTACATGGTTGTCCAATAAATAGCAGCTGTGGGCTGTAGCCATGGGGGAAGAACCCAGCTGCTGAAGAATGAGTGGGAGGTGGAGGTGGAGTCCGAGTGGCAGGCGCTGCCCGTTCTTTCAAGAATGTAGCTCTGGATGGGGCTGGGGGTATCTCAGCCTCTGCACTCCTTCCATTTGGGATTGGATAATTCTTTTTAAAAAAGTTTAATTAAAAAACTTTTTATTTTTATTGGAACATAGTTGATTGTACATAACTGT